AGACTGGGGGGAGTTGATATTTTATTTGAGTTTTGAGTTTTGCTTATGGTCATGTATTGCTTAACAAATATTCAAAATTTATTTAAGGTTGGAAGCAAAATGAATCTGAATGGGTGTAGATGAAGATTGAAGAAGGTGATGGAGGGTTACATACAAAAAACTGATATGACTAAACTGATATAATAAATGGTTTTGGGTTTTTGGACAAAATAAATGGGGTTTTTTTAGGTTGTATTGATTTGTAAATGATGAGAGAATTAAGTTAGTTAGAGTTTGTTGTTGAATTACCAACTGAAGAGTTAGCTTTCTAAATTTTATTTTATTAAATTCTTTCTTAAGAACACATCTTCTTAAATTTTCCCTCTAAGCTTATGTGATCAATTAAAGGAAGTTCCAAAAAGAAAGAGTTGAAAAAATAAAACCCAAAGAAAATATTGATTGATTTTTGTAAATTAATGTTTTTATCAGTTATTAATTTGTATCTGTGTTGACAATGTGTTGTGTTTGTTCCTAGTGTTTGCATTGGGTAACCAATTATTATTTTGCAACAATGTTTGTGTTTAGTTTGAATTGGGTGGTCCATAAAAAACCTTTCATTAGTGTGACAATGCATGTGTTTGTTTTGAATTAGGTAGTCTCTTTTAATTATCATATTGGCTTTTTTCTGTATTTTACAGGTAGATGAAGACTAGAAGCGAATGGTAATATTGACTCCTTTTTACAGTTCTACATTTTTTTAAGCTTAAGTTTTTCTTATCTCTCTAATGATTTTGTATTTATTGTTGTGTAAACTAAACGTGCACTTCTTTGATTGATAAGTGTTGAAAGAGTGGCAATCTCGAGGGCAAAATTTACACTATTTTTGGTTTTATCGTTGACAAACTTTGAAATGATTGACATTGTATAAAGTTAAAGATTGTTTAGAGGCAGATTGACGTTGTGTAAACTTATATAGATTTGGTTTGGTTTGGTTTGGTTTGAGAGGTAGACATTTGGAGGTGTTTGTTATTTAGATTTTGATGAAAAATACCACTTTCGTATTGGCATGGTGTGCTCCAAAGGGAGAATACCATTTTGTTGTCCCTCTTATTTTGAAGTTGTGTCTATAATAAGGGGGATCCTCTTACTAAAATGTATGTTATCTATTCATTTTTTGTATGTCATGGGAAAACAGAATTCTAGGTATACTTGATTTTCAATGTTCCTAGCTTAAGAGAGAATGATAAATGAAAATTATTCAAACAAAACATTATGTACACCGTGCCTTTAGGCACGAACATACACTAGTATTATTTAAATCGAAATTACTGTGCAAGATCTAATTTTATAAAATTTACTATTTATGTTTTGGAAAATACGGTTGGTCACTATTCATCTTTTGGCAAATTTGATGTTGACTGGTTGTACTCTTTTGACAAATGTGATATTAGTGAGTTGTTTTCTTTGGACAAAATTTGATATACTCACATAGGATGGTTAATTATTTTTATTAGAATGTATCTAAAATCTCTATAATAATTATAAAGATTTTAAAAGGGTATATATTTTATAAATGTTATTTAAAGAGATTTTACTATGCATACAAATTTTTTAATAGAAAAGTCACTGTGCATTCAAATATTTTAATAGAGAAGTTACCGTGCATTCAAATATTTTAGTAGAAAAATCACTATACATTCAAATATTTTATTAGAAAATTACTATGCAAGTTATTGTGCACGGTTCAGAAAATTGAATTATGATTTATCGAAAGCGACCGTTGTCTATATTTTCAATATCCTGCCTGCCATATTTGAAAAGGATTGGTGCCCGTGGTCTCCTCCAACGAATATGAGCCAACAAATATAAGTTTATGATAGATAAGAAGTATTTTTGTTGGAGAAAAATAAGAAGTGAGGAAGCAAAAATAACGTCTACTTGGGATAACAATTATTGAACCGTTGAAATTGATTTATGTTTTATTTTCTTAGAATCCTCGAATGTTAAAATTATTGTTTTGGTGATTTAGTTACTAACCAAGTGTGTGTGTGAGAGACATTTTCAAAAATCATTGTGTAATTATATAAATTAGAATAGTTTAAGTGTTGTTGGCTTATGAACATAGTAAGCTTAGATGTGCTACAAGGGATGTTAGTATGAGATACGTTGACAGTTTGATCTTTAACGTTCACTTAGCAATTTTATTATGTTTTCAACTTTGTTCTCATAGCTCCATTGAAAAACTTGAATGTGGTATACGTACCACTAATTAAGTTGGCATAATAATGTTTAATTTATAAATGTCATTTTCTATTTGAATACTATTGTATGATATTTTAAATTTTATATTCTGATTTTGTCATTTTCAATTTGTTAAATTGTTAAAAGGTTAAAAAGAGTTGTATTTTTTACATTTCACTGTTGTTAAAATGTTAGTATTGCTAATTTAATAAGTTGTAACTTTTATAACTATAAATATTGGGAGGGTATCACCGACACATTATACTGTACTATTCACGTCCTATGTGTTTTTTTAATTAGCCTGATTAGTTTTATTATTTATTAAATAATATAGGTCCTACACATAGACATGACTTTTGATTGTATCAATAATGATGAATAGCATTTCTCTAAACTTTATATTGAAATATTGTCTCTCAATTAGATTATTTAATTTATATTACTAAAATATATAATTGTTAAATCATTGAAATTTTTATACATTTAGGGTGTGTTTGGTAACGTTTACGTTTTCAGTTTATATTTATAAAAATTTTATAAACTGGTTTTCATTTATTTTTTGTTTATTTTTAGAAAAACATAAACTACAAACGCGTTTGGTAGTTGACAAAATGTTTAAAAAAATTTAGAGTGAGAAATGGCAGTGGTGGCAAGTGGCGACGGAAGACGGTGGTGGAAAGTGGTGACGATGGGTGGTGGGTAGCTGGTGGTGGTGGGTGGTGGCGGGTTTAAGTTTTTGTTTATCATCATTTCTATTTCTAGTATATATATGTGTTAAGCTTTATTTTGTGGTTCATGGTTTATTGTTTGGTGGTTGCCTAATTAGAACTATGGCAGAAATTGTGAAATTGGGCATTGTAGTTTCTTCCTCTCTCTGTTTTTTTGTTTTTGGTTGTCTTTATTCTTTGTGGTTGTGTTTGTTCAAACCCCAAAACAGAGATACTTCAATTCTAGATATATATATATATATATACATGCTTCGAGTTTTAGTTAGATAAATTGTTGTTTGTTGGTAGAATTGAGGTCTATAATGGTTTAAATTGATGTTTTTGTTTATCATAATTTCTGTTTCTGGTATATATATGTGTTAAGCTTTATATTGTGGTTCATGATTTATTGTTTGGTGGTTGCCTAATTAGAACTATGGCAGAAATTACAAAGAAATTATGAAATTGGGCATCGCAGTTTCTTTCTCTCTCTGTTTTTATTTTTTGTGGGTGGTTGTGTTGTCCTTTTGATTGCCTGAATTATTATTTTTTATTTTTTTTAAATTTGTCAAATGATGTTTTTATTGTGTCCAGAGGGTTTGAAGAGAATAGTGACAAGAATCAACACTGATTGCTGAACTCACAAGGTTGTTTCTTTTTTTGGGTATTAATTTTTATTAATTGATTAATAACAGGTTTTGTAGAAGCTAAATTTTTTATTAATAGTTAGTATAGAGTGTGTGTGTGTGTTCAAATTGTGAGATGGGTTTTTATATTTGGTTAAACATTCTGGAGGTTTACATTTTTTGGCCAAATTTATAAACTGAGACCACTGATTTATAAATCAAAAATTTTACCAAACAAATTTTTATTTAAATTTTTAAAATTTTTATAAATATAAACAGATACTGAAAATATAAATGTTACCAAACGACACCTTATTATTTAATTTGCATTACGGTTATAGAGCTTCATTTGTGTTGGGAGTACCTTTGAGTACAAGTCGTTCATTAGTATTTTAATTTAAGAGAGATGATGATATTATTTATAATAAAAATAAAAAATAAATAAACAAAGTTTGACTCTTGTATAAATAAATTTTGCGTTTTAATTTTATAATTTTAAACTATGTTTTCAATCTATATCATCTTATCAATTTCTGTTAATTAAAATTAATAAAAAAAATGTGTTTTAATTACAAATCAATAGATGTATGAAAAATGTTTAAAATATCCTTTTCTTATTATTTTCAGTTGAATTTAATGATTAAAATGTTATTTTTCATCAATTTACTTAATGAAAATAGGTTGGTGGTTTGATTGAAAATAAATCCAAAATTAAACCTATTTTAATAATTGACTTTTTTTTTTACGGAAAAAAAAGGATTAACTTTCTTTTAATGATTTTTTTTTTTTTTGACTGAAATCTTATGTTTCAACAGATAGACAAATCAGTTTTTAATTTTTTAATTTTGTTAAGTCATATTATTTTTTAATTTTTTTGCATTTTTTTTAAAAGTAAAAAAAATTAGACTTTTAACCTACTCCTCAAAATAGGTTAAAAGGTTAAATCTAGGTTTTTTTTTTTATTGGTAATTTCCTTTATTGTTTTTGATAAATTACTATTATACCCTTTAAGGTTGGCTTAAAATACAAATCACCCCTGTAGTTTGAAAAATTACCTTCCATCACTGAGATTTATAATTTCATAATAAATAAATCATTTTATTAATAAATTATCGAGTCAATTAATAATTTTTAATGATATAACAAATATATTTCAATTAATAATTCATATAATTTTATTATTGTATGAGAAAGAAATTAAGAATTTCATTCTTTTAAATAATTTTGTTAAATAAAAAATTCTAAGAATAAAATATTTATAATTTTTTAAATCAAGCAATTCATATTTTAAAAATTGTGTTTGTAATTTACCCTATTAATTTTATTCATACAATGAATCTAAACTTGTGAGCTTAATAGCTTATATGTATTTTCTACAAAATTTAAGTGAGATTAGTGTAATTTTAAATTTATATTAAAAAAAATAAAATTTTGAGAGAAGGGTCTCTCGCACACTTTTCCTTCTTTCACACGTTCTGCTGCTGCTTCTTCTTCTTCTTCTTCTTCTTCTTATCTCTCTCCTGACTCTCTGGAATTTCATCATCATTACCTCTTTGAATCCATTGATATATATATATATATACACACAGAGCTATATATATACAATCATCTTCATCTCATATTGGCCTTGAATTCCCTAAATTGGATCGCTCGTTTCGATTATTTTGATCCGACTCTGATCCCAAAACAACAATCTGAATTTCGAAACTTTATCTCATTACATATTCCAATTCGTGTTCTCTAAACTCTGCGTGTTTTCTAATCTGCTCAGAGAATGCCCCAAGACTCCTCGTCCGAACCAGACCTGGACGATCCTGTAGCCGAGTTCGTCGAGTCCGACCCTTCTGGTCGATATGGCCGGGTCAGTATATACAAACCCTAGTGTTTAGTTTGATATTTTGAGTCATTTACATTCATGTTTTTGTTTTTTTCTCAATCTAAGTCCATTTTCTGATTCAATTTGCAGTATAAAGAGGTCCTAGGAAAAGGGGCATTCAAAAAGGTGTATCCTTATGAGGGTTTTTGTTTTTTGTTTTGGTTTTTGTGATTTTTGTTTTGCTGTGGCATAGTTTGGATTTGAAAATTTGCTTTATTGTCTCTCCTTGATGAACATTGTGGGAATTTAGATACAGGGCATTTGATGAATTGGAAGGAATTGAAGTGGCTTGGAATCAAGTTAGGGTTGCAGATCTTTTACGGAATTCCGAGGACTTGGAACGATTGTATTCGGAAGTTCATTTGCTTAAGACTCTTAAACATAAGAACATTATTAAGTTTTACAATTCATGGGTTGATGCCAAAAATAAGAATATCAACTTCATTACTGAGATTTTCACTTCTGGGACATTGAGACAGTATGTTCTCTCATTCTAAAACATTGTACTGTTTGGTTGTGTTTTTGTTTTCTGTTTTCTTGGTAGGGATAGTTGTTTTTAGAAAAAATTTCTGACAATATCCCACTTTCTAGAAGACATGAAAAAGTTGTTTGGGCTTTGGATTTTTTGAACTGTTTTTGTGCAAAAATAAAAACTATGAGTGTTTTCAAACTTCTCATTGTTTTGTTCTCAAAACATGAAGAATGAAAACGAGGAAAACAAAAACGCAACCAAACAGGGCTATGAAATTCTATTTCCATCTTGGTCTTGTAACGATTAATCTTTTCTTTTTCTTTTTTGTCTTCCTTTTTCTAATATGTTTGTATAGATATCGTAAGAAACATAAGCATGTTGATTTGAGAGCACTAAAGAAATGGTCTAGGCAGATATTAGATGGCCTTTTTTATCTTCACAGTCATGACCCACCTGTCATCCATCGGGACCTAAAGTGTGACAATATTTTTGTCAATGGAAACCAAGGTGAGGTGAAGATTGGAGACTTAGGACTCGCAACCATTCTTCGCCAGGCACGTTCTGCTCACAGCGTCATCGGTGAGGACTTCTTTGTTCCTTTCTTTTGTGGTGTTGAATTTATCACTTAGTCTTCTCCATTGGATGTAATGATGTAGTGTTGTTGTGATATTAGGTACTCCTGAGTTTATGGCACCGGAGCTTTATGAGGAGGAATACAACGAGCTTGTAGATATTTATGCCTTTGGTATGTGCTTGCTCGAGTTGGTGACCTTCGAGTACCCATATGTTGAATGCGTGAATGCTGCTCAGATATACAAGAAAGTCACATCAGTAAGGCGTTTGTGATTTTTTTGTCCATTACTTTCCCATTCCATGATATCCTCTCTCATTGTTGAGTTCCTAAATTTGTCGTGGAATTTTACATTTGTCACACTTGCTAAGTTTTAAGGTATGGAATCCTGATAAAAATCTTTGGATAAAATGCCTATGTGGATGCTAGTTCTCTTTGTTGAAGCATAGAATATGGTATTTTCCGTTATGTAAATCTTCATTACTAATAATAAAAAAACATCATATGCTAGAGCACTCTTTCACTAATTATTTGCTTGACTATTGGCCATTGGGATGCTCTTGTCCTATCAAAATTCTACATTTGGTAAATGAAGGCCTATATGTTTGATGCAATGATTTATATATGCTTGATATGTTACATGGACTCGGGTACAGGTTTCGGGTGCGGATATGTATGTAGAGATTGGACTCATAAAACCATAAATTTAAGGGTATGCGGGCTCTGTAAAAAAATGTCTTATTTTTATATTTTTAATCAAGCATGTAAGATAAAATGGTATTATATGTAACTTAAAATGTCAAAAGACATTTATGACAATTATACAACAATATATACATATAATAATAGTTATATTAGAAGTGTCCGTTGAAAAGTATCTGACACATATCCCATACCCTTATTCGAGTGTCGGGTGTCCGACACAGGTGTTTGATTTGTTTTGAAGAGTCCGTGTAATATAGACTATCCTTCATAAAAAAAATGTAGGTTGTATTAATAAAAAATTCATTTTTGCTTCGATACTTTTTGACTGGAATTAAGGGAACAACTATCCGCCCCAGCACTAGGTGCAATTTCGAGTCACGGGAATCAACCTCTAAAAAAGTAGGGGTAAATTGTCTACCATTTATCTCTCCCAGGTCCTAGTGTAAGTGGTTTTCTTGTGAACTGGGTTCGACTATGACTTCTTGATTGGTTGGATGCTGTTGGATTTATTTAAATGACCAAAACCATCTGAATTCAGTATTGTGGTAAAATTGGAAGTTGGTAAGATGCTAAGAAGCACGAACACGTCTAAGAAGGTGGCGTATCTGTGTCATGTCCGTGTCATGTCCGTGTCGGACACTAATACTCTTAGGACACGTGTCCAATACTCTTCAAAATGTGTCTTATTTTTTAAATTTTATTAATGATCCAAACACTCTTTGGACACTTGGAGGACACACATGCCAATCGCTTAGACACGCGTATCTATCAATTAGACACATGTGAAACTAATTATAAGTTTGAACAAAATAACTTAAAGATACAATAATAAAACAGAACCCATATAAATTTATAGAAATTAGTGTCATATTGCATTTTTATCTTTGAATGATATATTTATATATATAACATATAATAAATATATAAAATTATACATTTCATGTGTGTCCCCCACGTGTCGTGTTTTGCATATTTTGAAAATTAGCGTGTCAGTGTGTCCGTGCAGTATCCGTGTCGTGTCACGTGTTCATGTCCATGCTTCTTAGGTCAGACGTCATACCTTCTTAACTAGTTTACTTCAGTAGAAGTGATTGGGACAATCTGAGTCTTTGGCTTGATTGAACAACATAGAATTGGTAAAAATGGGGCAAATTTAGTATTAAAAGAACTAAGGATTGGTTGATGGATGACCCAATATATGCAACTCAACCCAAGCATATACCTGATGCATTTAGCTATTCCATATTTTTGTAGTTGCAGTCCTCATATGGCATATAGGTGGTACTCATGATGATATAATTCATATTTGTGTCCCCTGTTGTAGAGCACAACCTACGTTGAGTCAACCCATGAATGACTTTTAGTTAATTTCTAAGTTCAAGAATTTATTAGCAAACCAATTTTTTGCTTCAGTTGAAATGATTTAAACCAGTAATCAAATAGGATTACTTCATACATTATTGGGGTCTGAGTGATCAATGAGTAGATGAACTTCACATCTCTAGTAATTTTATTTTTTTCTGAAAATTGTTGTGGTACGTGTATTTGGTTCCTTGCTGCACTTTTGTCTGTGTTCTTGTGTGTAATTCTAATTAATCTTCTCTTGTTTTTATAAATGTATATATATAATAATTGAATTGGCTGTAAAACAAATAGATTTAATAGCGTGTTATAGCTGGCACGAAACCTAAACTATCAGCCCCAGCATTTGTTTCGCTGGCTGGACTTCAGGCGAACTACTGACCTTGGTTGTTAACTTCCAACTTGCAAGCAAATTGTTGGTTCTGCTTGGAGTTGAGTATTAGAGAAATGAGAATAATGGAAAAGATTTTTAGTGTTGGTTTTATTCAGTTGGAATTTGGGCGAACTACTGACCTTGGTTGTTAACTTCCAACTTGCAAGCAAATTGTTGGTTCTGCTTGGAGTTGAGTATTAGAGAAATGAGAATAATGGAAAAGATTTTGAGTGTTAGTTTTATTCAGTTGGAATTTGGGCTTGGTGTAGCATTTATTGTACAAGTAATACTTCTTATTTTTTATTTTTTTATTTTATGTTCTTCTCCTTTTTTAGCTCATTCTATTTAAATTAGTGTAGCCAACATCATGTGGCTGGTGCAAATGCTTTGTGGTGTTGAGTGGAGTTGAGTAAAGCTTGTTAAATATCGCCAATGAGATATCCTTTGTACTGTTGGAGTAAAAAAAATTTAATTATGCTTGTCTTTTTTTCGCCAAAGGGAATCAAGCCAGCATCATTGGCAAAAGTAAAGGATCCTGGAGTCAAAGCATTTATTGAAAAATGTATTGGAAAAGTCTCTCTCCGATTGCCTGCAAGGGAACTTCTAATGGATCCTTTTCTCCAGTCAGATGAAGATATTGAAATGATAGGCCGATCCTTACCATTCAATCCTAATGCAGCAGGTAAACTTTGGAAAAATCATTTACAATTTCTGTTGTCCCCCTAGCTTCTGACACAACAAATTGACAGATTCCAAGGACTCTGTTATTGAGGGCAGTCTCAGTCGAGACTTCATGGTGCAGGGTCAAAGGAAGGACCTGAACACTATATTTCTGAAACTAAGAATAGCTGATTCCACAGGTTGTTAATTATCTCTGTTGCTTTCAGTCTTTGTAATTTTTGTTTCAAGAGAATGCTATGCTTATTAGCATTCATAAATCTTGCTATTGAAACCTTTCCTTGTGTTCCCAGGTCATATTCGGAATATACATTTCCCATTTGATACTGAGGTTGATACAGCACTCATTGTTGCTAGTGAAATGGTTGAGGAGCTGGACCTGACAGATCACGATGTATCAGTTATTGCTGCGATGATTGACTCTGAAATTCGTGCATATATTCCAGATTGGACACCCACAGAGCTTTCTGGAGTTAATGTCGATAGTGAAGTTGCAATTTCTGATAGCTCCGCCTTTGAAGGTAAGGATGTTACTTCTCCGTCCACAGATGGTTCTGCTCGTTCTACTGGTAGTCTTGTGTTGGAACGATTGCCCTCAGGTCGGAAGTACTGGTCAGACTCACCCAAAACAGTAGGTGGAAACTCTCCAGTTATGCCTGGCCCTTCAAACCCGTCTCTGGAAGATTCATTGACCCCTAGAGATAGCTTGACTGAAGAAAATGAGCAATGTCATGGTAGCCTGAAAGCTGGGGATTCAAATGATGCTGCTTCACTTGAACAGCTGAAGGATGAGCACATGGTTAATATGAAAAAGAAACAAGCCGGTGTGTCCACTGATTCACAATTCGATCCATGCAATGGATCACGCAAATTGGGGGATAACAATGAAACCCTAAGTGATATTGATTCAGATGGTGCCAGAATCATTGCAAAGAAACTTGAGCATCTGTTGTTTGAGCAGCAAAAGGAGCTAGATCAACTAAAGATGAAGAATGAATTGGCTGTATCAGATCTCATGAAGGAACTTCCTCTAGAAACTCGTCACAAAGTTTTCAGCTTTTGTAACCTAAAGATTTCCGACTACAAATTCTGTTGTCAAATGCAATGTTCTACGGGGAATTCTTCAAATTAAGGGTCTAATTCGCAGATATGAGTGCTTCTGTATTACATTTCCAACTCAACTGTGGAATATAACTTGGATAAAACAGGAGTCCATGGCTGAAAAACGTATATATCTTCAGAGAGAGGTTGAATGCTGTGAAGGGAAACACCAAATCTGGCATGGGTATTGCAGCAAGTTTGGGAGACACGGTGCAGGTTATAGCTTGTGAAATTTTTTATGCTTGTGGAAATCTTCTTTATAAAATCATTCTTGAAGATCCAGCACGATCTTTCTTTCCCGTAAGGTAGAAGATTACACGATGCCACTGAGGTGAGACATTGGCTCAATACCATTGATGTCATATACGTTTTGCCAATGCCTAATGCATATTTTACATGTCATCCATACAAAAGTTTAATATGCTTGTAGTTTTCTATAGTTGGTACAAGTCATCAAATTTTCATGGATTGTATATTTGTACATATGGTTTATAGTCCATGTATTAGCAACAAGAAAGGTTGATTGCCTTCAAAATGTGCCTGCTGAGATGAACCTTAATTATATCTTTCAGTTTTATGGATTTCATGTTTGCGGCCTTGAAGGAGCATGTATTAACTGCCCTCGATTTTGATCCCCATTTTATCTGGTCCATAAGGATGAAATCTATTGTTTGGTGTGCTTTATTATGTTCTTTGTATTAAAGAAGGTTTGTTACTTTTGAAAAATAAAGAAGTATTGTAGAAGTTGAAGGGTTATTACCCATCTATTAGTTTTCATGTGTTCTTTGTTCTGCCATTGCAGTTGAAATTTAGTATTCATGATAGTTTTTTTCATGAGGTTTGATATTAGTTATCATGTGGACAACTTTTGGAGTAATCATCCTTTTGTTTGGGTGAAGGAGGACATATTGCTCCCCCCTACATGACTGCTTCAAAAAGGGGGATCTATTCCCCCCCATACGTCATGTTGAAGAAGCAATCATTCTTACTTCCACTTCTTCATTAAAATCCTTAGGCCATGTTTGGTTCAAGGATAGGATTAGGTGTCCCGGGATAGGTCATCCCTAGTAAGGTAGTTTAGTCATTTTTTGATAAAATCCATTTTCCTGGATGAGTTGTCCCACCCCTCACCTTGAACAAAATAATCTCACGTATGCAGGATAAAAGAGCCTCTTAGAAATTTCTCAATTTTTGCGAATGCTCTAACCTTTTTTCAGCAATCTGTTTTACGAATCATAAAATGAAGACATTTAGGCCATGTTTGTTTGGGTGGACATGGGCTTGGGATTGGATTAATAGTCCAATAAAATTATTAATCCGATGTTTGGTTAAACAATTGAAGTGGGGACTAATTATTTTAAACTTGACTATTAGTTAAGATAGGATACATAATCCAACGGATTCGTAGTCCTAGGACTATTAGTCATGGGAATGCTAATCCAGTCCGCCCAAACAAACATGGCCTTATGGTATGCGGAGCAGGTAGGTAGGTCATCTGATAGATATTATTTTCATTTCTCCATTTTCCCCTACAGAAAGCTAACTATTTGAGAAGAATGGACAGTGAGATTGAATTTTGTCACAGTAGACCGTAAACGAATTGAGTTGATTAGTAAGTTGTTCAAGTTTGACTCGAAAACTTGACGAGTTTCAAAATGTATTCAGTTTTACTTATTTGTTTTTCGAGTCGATCTTTACATGGGCTTTAATCGAGTTGATAGCGAGTCAAATTCAAGTAGCTTACTTTTATTTTTATTTTTGTAGTGCATATAAATTTGTTGAGTTGAGTAATAGTTTGTTCAAACTTAATTTAAAAATTTAACTAGATGAATTTAATTTGTTTATGCCTCCGTTTGGGAAGTGGGTTGGTTTTTTGACTTTTTGGCTTTTTTGGCTATTTTAGCATGGGCTAAAAAGCTTAGTTTGGGAAGAGTTTTTTGACTTTTTTGAATTTTTTTGTGAGAGAAGAGTGTAATGATTATGGATTGGATGTGATGTTTTGTTTGTTGTGACTAAAATAGCCTATTTTGTCTTTTATAACTAAAATAGTCTCAAACCTCCTTGCCAAATGGAGCCTATATAACAATCAAATCTTGAAGGAGGTTTTAATGAGTTGCATACAAGTTGTGTTCGAATTGTTTAATTTATTTTATGGTCCTATTTATAGAGGCACTCTTTATTTAGCCTGGTTGCTCGGGAAACTAGTGTTTGGCATTGATTGACACGGATCCGGTTTCGAGGAATTTTTCTGAAAACACTTTTTAGGATACCCAATTGTTTTCTGAATTTTTAAAAATTGTTTTCAAAATAAAATGAAAATAAGTAGTGAGGTCTATTTTTGGTGTAGGATAGATTAAGTATACATAACGATCACCATCAGGCAACTAGAGGTACCTGAAGCTATTACGTGTCCCAAACAGAGTCTTATTTTCTATGCTTCCATCTTTATACTCAAAATCACAAGTCATTTTCATCACCATGAAAGTGAATCAAAACAGGCCATACTACATTGGAAATCTCTAGGCAAATTCAAACTTATTTATTATTAATTAAATCAGTAGAATTCACTACTTTTGGGAGACAAATGGCACATTGTGAATGATGTAGAACATTACTACCACATATTTGTGTAGACCTGTATCGGATTTGGCAAAATTTGAAAATTTGAATTCAATTTAATTAAGTTATAGTTGAAATTTGATTTGATCCTCATATTGAACATTAGATAAATTTGAAATTCACATATGTGATCTAATAATCCAACCTAATAAGGTAGAAGCTGCGGGTTCAAGTCCCGTGAATGTCAATAGATTAAATAAAAACCTCAATTCAACTCTCTTTTCTGTGAAAGGTAATGCAAGATTTCATTTCCCATGAGCAAATTTAATCTAATCTAATTGGATTCCTTTGAATTTCTTAATTTCCTAATTTTCGCACAAATTTTGCTCTTTCCTACGTTGCTTTCCAAGGGCCATCTAAGTGATGTGCACGAATGGCTAGGCCGAAGGGTCGCGATTCCAAGAGGGTGATAATCAATTTTGTTACATTTTCTAACTTGTGTTAGTCTATTATTATACTTTAGCATTGTTTAGTCTATTATTATACTTTAGCATTGTTTATTCTTTAGTTGTTATTACTTTGTATACTTTAGCATTAAGTTGTTATTATTATGTTTGTTTGCTTTATGCTTTCGGCTCCGTGCCTCGCGTCTCGCATGCCTCGCATATGCTATAAGAAGCGAGCTAAGCTCCCCTTGTAATTACACAACAAATTCAATATACATATACCTCATTTATTTTCTCTTTCATGGTATCAGAGCACAGGTGTTTTGCCTAGTCTCTACATTTTTTTTTCTTCTTCGCAGACTGCTGTGTCTCTCGTCTGCATCACATTTGGACAGATTGTTGCATCTCTCGACCTTCTCTGTTTTCCCTCTTCAACCACACCAGTCTCTTCGTCTCCTCACGACGAATCCACCGCCACCAAATTCATCACCAAAAGACGTTCCACGCGCCTTCACGCGCCGCCGGAACTTAAGGTCACGCGCATTCTCGTTCTCTGACGCGCTCTACGCGCCTCTGCACTGTCCCGCGCTACTGTGCGCCGCGGCCTCCTCTGCTAACGTGAGCCGCGTGTTTCTGCGTCAGCCGACGTCAGCCCTCCTGCTTTCGTGCGCCGCCTGCTGTCCGCTGCTATTGTGCGCCGCGCACCTCTCTGCTAACGTGCGCCGCGCCTTTGACCAAATTTTGACCAGCCCATTTAGTGCCTTTCTAGTCCTATTTTGGTCAGTTCACTCTTTTCCCCCTAATTTCGACCTTCTAAATTCACTGGTACCCTCGGATTTTTTTAATTTCACCTCGAAAGTACGGTTTTGCCCTCATGGATCGCCTTGACTCCTCTCACCACCCTATTTTCATTGTTCTTGACGGGACTAACTATGTCTTATGGGCACAAGCTATGTCTGGGTTTCTCAAAGGAAAGAAACTTTGGCGCATCATCACTGGGGATGTGTGCAAACCTATCCCCGCACCCACGGACTCCGCTGCCACCACGGACTCCGCTGCCAAATATATCGATCATCTGGAGGATTGGGATAGTAAAAACTATCAGATCATTACCTAGTTTCGCAATACTTCTATTACATCTATCAGCCTTCAGTTTGGTCGGTTCCAACTTGACTCTGCTTCCTCTCCCGCCAAGGACATCTGGGATTTTTTACAAGAACGCTATCAGACTACTGGCCTTGCGCACCAATATCAGCTTCTGAGTCATCTTCACCGTATGCGCCAAGAAACAACTCAGACCATTAATGATTTCTTCTCCCAAATGTATTATGTTTGGGATCAGCTCGCTCTTTCTGAACCTCCATGGGATTGTACTAAGGATGCTGCCTTGTTTACTACTTACCTTGACCAACATCGCTTGGTTCAGTTTCTCATGGCTCTTACTTCCCGTTTTGAGCCCGTACGAGCATCTCTCCTCCATCGCACTCCTTTACGCACTCTTGAGCAAGCAATTTCTGAACTCCTGTTAGAGGAAACTCGGTTTGGTACTCTCCATCCGCACCCTGTGGACTCTGTTCTTGCTACTCCCCAGACTAAGAGTTCTCCTTCCCCACCTTCATCCCAGAAGTCAACCTTCTGCAACTACTGTCAAAATCGCAGTCTTCCGTCGACTCATCTTCTGGTTAATTGTCCTGTTCGCCTCTGTCGGTTTTGCAACAAGACTGGTCCTGGTCATCTTCAGCAAGATTGCTTCCGCAATCCCGCCCGTGCTTCTCGCAATGGTCCTTCCCCCGGGCATTTTTCCCGCAACACCTCACATCGTTCTGGGCCTCCGTTTAAATCACTCCCTGCTCAACGCACTGCTGCTGCTGCCTCAGAGGATTTACCTTCCCCTGTCCCTATAGATCCTTCCACTCCAGTCTTCTCTCACACAGATGTTGAAGCCATGTTTCAATATCTTTGGAAAAAATCCGGTACCCTTTCCTCTCCTGCCTTGTCTGTCACCGCAAGTAACACTTCTTGGTACTTTGACTCCGCTTGTTGTAATCACATGACCTTTGACTCTACTATTTTTACTCCTATCTCTTTTACTCCTCATGTTCCTTCTATCCATACTGCTGATGGGTCTCTTCTGTCTGTAAGTCATGTTGGTTCTGTTTCCACCTCTCACTTATCTTTATCTCATGTCTATCTTATGCCTGCTCTCACTTTAAATCTTATCTCCATTAGTCAATTATGTGAGCATGGTCTAACTGTTACCTTTTCTCCTACTGGTTGTTTGGTGCAGGACCCTCGGACGGGGCAAACCCTTAGGATAGGCCGTAAGCATGGACGCCTCTACGAACTTATCCATCTTCATGTTCCGGATTCCTCTCAGATCACAGCTCCTACCACTGCTACCACTGCTCCTCGTTTATCTCCTTTTCAGCTTTGGCACTGTCGTTTAGGCCATCTTTCTGCTGGTCGTTTAAAAACTTTAATTTCTAGTGGTCATTTAGGTCCTGTCAGCTCTGATGCTTTCGATTGTGTGTCCTGTCAACTTGCTAAACAACCTGCTTTGTCGTTTAATAAAAGTGACTCTGTTTCTGTTGCACCATTTGATCTCAT